AAATTATATAGATTTGCTTTTTTCAAATGTCATTATTCTGTAAATTCATGTATACTTTATAACGTTAATTGTGATATAAATTAATTGAAATAAATATTTTGATTTACATACTAGTATACTAGTACTAAAATGAATACTTTTTGCACATTTTTTGTGCTCATAAATCAGAATATATTCAGTAAAGTATTTAATACAAGTAATTATCACAAAAGTCATATAAAAACACTCTTAAAATAAATGAACGATTGTTTTGAATACTTGACGTCCGGTTCCTATCAATCGCAGCAGTAATTGAAGTAAAGGATAAAAATTCTTCGTCTTATCGATAATTATCTGTAATTTGTTATAAAATAACTTTACGCCTAATCTCAATGAGTTTTTATACAGTAGTATTAATAGTCTGTGAATGCTTTGGACACCAATTGAAGTGCTTGCTTATATAAATCTATAGTAATTTATGTCTCCTATGATAACAAATGACTCATAAAATATATTCTTCCACTTCAAGCGCTTCCTATTCTCCCACCAATTCTTGAGTACTCAAAGACAGCACACAATTTGATTGCTTACAACATATTAAGACTAGAAAATTGATTGAAATATTACACTAAACAAACAAATACTGTTACAGAATATATTTACACCGGTTTAATACCAGTGGTATTATATTCAGTATCTGTATATTAATGTCAATTTGTTTTTTAGTCGCTCATAATATTCCGCAATGATGTTGACATGTTTGTCATTGTATGTAATTGTAATAAATTAATCGCTCGTTTCATTGCTATTACAATGTATGAATGCTATTATACAATTGAATAACAAAAGTATACAGGTAATTACCTTATATCGGAGATTCTCAACTGATGTCTTTATTAAAACTATGAAAGTTTATTATTACAGTATATCATAGCATTAATTACTTTGTAAATTTAAACCCATTGTAAATATTAATACATTAACAGTAAACATCCTATCCCTCTATAATATTCACATATTTTCATAAATATTTCATAAGTTTTCGCTTTCAGTGACTTAATAGTTTGAGAATTTTATTAATTTTATGGTGTATTAGTGATATACCAGTAATATTACAATAGCATATTGTATTACCAGTAATATTTAGAGTTGCTTGATGTCATCCATGTAAATTTCTCAATCAAGAGATACCGGTAATAAGTACCTTAATAATAATAATTACTCAATACACTCATAAAATATGCTACACTTTATTGGCAATTACAAAAACATAGTTGACTAACAAAAATATTAAATAATACAATTATCATATAGAACAGTACATATTCTTGTCAATACAATGAAAATAATTACAGTTATATCTATGATATATGAGTGTATAATGCGATTACAATTACTTGCGTTTATTTAAAATTTAAATAGTAAACTAATATCTGATACAGAAATTAATTTATTTACCCAAACAAATGACGACAAAATAATTGTATGTATAATATATATGAGTGTATAATGCGATTACAATTACTTGCGTTTATTTAAAATTTAAATAGTAAACTAATATCTGATACAGAAATTAATTTATTTACCCAAACAAATGACGACAAAATAATTGTATGTATAATATATGAATAGTTATAATATGCGAGAGAATTAAGTTAGTGATCAGTGGTTGACATCATGTTATGAAATATACAGACGACTATTAAATACACAAAAAAAAGTCGGAAAAAAACAAATCAAACGCCAAATGCTTTGACACCATTGGCTCACTTCTTGCCGGATTTGCTCTGCTTTTTGGGTGGCGACCACCGGAGGCACCCGTTTTCTACCGTGAGTCGCGGTCTCTTGTACTGCGCGCTCTTCAGGTGCTCCTCGACCAGCTTCGGCGTCACGCATATCACGTGCTGTCCCTTCCAGTACTTAACCATATTTAGCGACTGCAGAGTACCGATGATGTCGTTCTGCGTGATTGACGTCATTTGACTCAAGTCTCTGATGCTGAGGACGCCGCGAAAGTCGCGCAAAATCTCCAACAATATCCACGACCAATAGCTCCTGTAACTCAGTTTTCCCAAATCAGACAACGGCTTCTCCGGTGAGCCGACAGACTGTTCCAGTTTGGAGAGCTCGTAGCTGAAGGCGATGAGGAACTTGCCGTAACCCTTGCGCTGATAGGGCGGTAGCGTCAGAATGCAGGCCAAGTTGTTGCCGTCGGGCGACTCCTTCTCCTTCGAGAAGTAGCCCACGATATGCGCCCCGTGTTTGTCCACTTCGCACAGTATGTAGAATATGAAGGGCTCGACGTCGAAGAACAGTGTCTTGTGATCCAAGAAGAGCTTCGCCAGAAGGCAGAGGTTCTGACAGTAGATCTTATGGTCCCTACCGTCCACTTCGTACACCGATATCGTCGACTTGCGGTATATCTCTTTGCCCTGCGGCTGACGCCAACAGCAGTCCGACTGGTGGTAGCGGTAGGTCTTCTCGAGCCGCATGTACTTCAGACAGTACTCGCAGATCCAGAGCTTCGGCTGTTTGCCGTACTCCTCGGGAAAGGGCGAGAAATACCAGCAGTCGATCTCATACTTCCCGAACTGAATGCGGTCCACGTATTTCACTTTAGTGATGGCCTCGTGCTCTCTCTCGAGGGCGGCGGTCGTCGGATCCATCTCTGCCAACGTCTTCTGGATGTGATTAATCTCGTCGTGCTTTCGCTTCTGGTTTCGCGTGATCTTCCGGTCCGTGCCGTCGATCGAGTCGACGCTCGCGAGACACATGTGTTGAGCGGCGCCTCCGCCGCCGGATCCGCTCTTCGCCACCGCATCCCCGGCGCCGCCGCCCGTCGTCTCACCCGTCTTCGTAACGTCACCGGCCGACCCGTTGGCGGTCTTACACGAGTCGAAGCGATCGCTTCCAACCCATTCATCGAGACGTCTGTTGAAGCCGTCGTAGTGGACGTAATACTCTTGTCGTCCGTTTTCGCAGCTATTGCTCCGCATTTCGATCACTTCCGCCGAGTCTGTGGACACAAACAGAGAGTCACACTCGCACTCAACATCAGACAATCACCACAAGCGGTGATAAGACACTCACGCCATGTGTTGTCCGACCGCTTGACCATCAAATGTTCGCCGATTTCGGGCACCAATTCGTTGGCGTCTTCGGCGCCGCTCTTCGTCTCCATCTTATCCATTTTATGGCGGATCGGTTGGTGAGTGGTGTGCGCGGTTAATGGACAATGACCACAATGACCAAGGTGTTTCACCGATCAATAACTACTAATTTAATCGCAAACAACAAAATTAATTAAAAATATTTGAAACGAAAAATAAACGCATTTTTGTCGCACTTTTGTCTCATTTTGGTTGCACTGAAGTCACACACAAAGTACGTACGCGTTGTACACCCTATGGGACGACACCCTCTCATCTATCGTGTAATCGTGAGTGTAAGGGGTGGGGAATGGGAGTCAATTACCCAGGTAGACAAAGTTTAGATTAACTTATATTTAAGTAAATTTGGTTTATGTATATATTTGTAACTAAATTTATTTAAATACAGTATATTTTGAGCGATAGTAAGGATTAAATAGTTTATAAAATAGTTTTTGTATACAAACTTATGTAATCAATGTTTTACTTATAGTTTTGAATTTATTGATTTATTATTTATTAAAAATTTAAGTAATCATTCATTTGAATCATATTTGTTTGTGTCAATTAATATCGCCTCAAATGTCAGTTCAATTCAAAGATGTTTTGATGGAAACGAGTGGCGATTACTATATGATTATTATTCTGTAATCCCTTTCCATATAATATTGTGAATTATTTTTCAAATTCTTTATGCAATTCTGTGTGTATTTCTACTGTTTGTTTGATAGTTGATTTAAATTTTGTATTTTTTGCTTAAATTAATGCTAGTCTTTTTAATGTTAAATAATTTGTGTTAATTATTTGGTAATACTTAGTTACCAAACGATCAAAATTATATATAAAAGTAGTTAATTGAGAAAATTGTCTAAAAATTTCGAATAATTCTAATTATATTTGTTTCCAATCTTCATATAAAATAAATACTATTCTTGTGATTAATATTAGGTTGATAACATTTATTTCTAATATAAATAAATATCTTTTAAATTAATTATATTTTTTGTTCAAAGAATTGAAGTACAAAATAGAAATCATAAAACTATTGAATTGAAGGCATTATTCACTTACATATGGCTTAGTATTTCAGGAATTGTCTCACATTTAAACCCATTATTCAAACCAAATACCAGTCAATCAATACATACCTGAGCCATAAGTGAGTGGATGTCTGATCCTATGATCAGTCGTCGACTGAGAATTGATTGAAATAAAAGTTTTTGTGATTTCATTGTTTCTATAGTTTTAATGCAATTCTTAATCAAGAATTTGTTTTAAAAATGTTTTTCACAACAATTGATGTGTTTTTCAAATGACATTACGAGTGAAGTTGGAGTGAAAGTCAAACACAAATGTCTTCGGGAAAGACATCCACTTCTGGAGGCAAGAGATCCACACGAAGAGCACCAGACATGCGAAGATGGAGGAGACAGACGTCCGGAACGTATGGAAAGGGATGGCGAGTCGGGAGTCATAGGAATGGCGTTGTGTTTGACTTGTACTCCAACTTCACTCGAATGTCACACAGAGTCCAGACCTACCAATGCATCCGATGGGGGACTGGTA